GCAGTTGCAGTGGCAGTAGCAGTAGCAGCAGCAGTAGGAGGAGTAGGAGGAGTAGTGGTAGTGGTAGGCAGTGGTAGTAGTAGCCGTCGTAGTGGTGGTAGTAGAACTAGTAGTAGTAGAACTTTTGCTGCTGTCTTTATTGTTGTTTCTCTATTTGCTGGAACAACATCAATGCATATTACGACTTGCAGTCACAAATGGTGATGACCGGAGAAATGACATCAAACCCCAAGCCCCTGCCCAAGTCCCTGAACCCTAAACCCTAAACCCTAAACAGCAGCCTGCTCCTGGCTGAAGGACCGTGCCGCCCTTGGGCAGGAGGGCCTGCATCTCAGGTAGGGCTTAAGGTCGTTCAGGGTTTAGGGTTAAGGGTTTAGGGTTTAGGGTTTCAGGCTGTAGAGTTTCAGGTTTGTTTCAGGCTGTAGAGGTTTAGGCTTTGGGGTTAGGTTTGAGGGACTGCTGCGCAGTGACTGGCGTAGTTGTAGTCTGGAGGTTCGCTCTATGTCCCCCTTGTGCTTAGCGGTGTGTCGATCTGCCGGCCGATGAGGATGATGGCTTAAGGCGGTTAAGGCTGTAAACCTAAAACCCTACGGGGCTATGTGCAGACCAGCAGTCGAATCCTAAATCCAAAATGGTTTAGGGCTTAGGGTCTAGGTACCCCCAAGTACCCTCTCCATTATTACAGCCTAGAGACCCTCGGATCCCGCCCTACACCCTAGACCAAAACTTCTGTAGAACCCTTGTCGGTGGTGATGACGGCGACGATCAAGATGGGCGCTCGTGATGATGATGATGATGATGATGATGCTGATGATGAGGAGGATAAGGATGAGGATGAGGATGAGGACGATGACGATGATGACGATGACAGTCACCATCATGATGATGATTGCGATGGAGATGACGATGATGAAGATGACGATGATGAAGATGACGATGATGAAGATGACGATGACGATGACGATCATTATGATTATGATTTCTGTGCTCGGAGGGTGATGCTGATGCTGATGATGCTGCTGATGACGATCAATTTCCGGTTGAATACCTTGGCAGTAGGCCTCAAGGCCGGAGGGCGTTTAGGGTTTAGGGTTTAGGGTTTAGGGGTTTAGGGTTTAGGGTTTAGGGTTTAGGGTTTAGGGTATTTCTTGATCTCTGGCCTGCCATACACAGGCGGAGCCTCCATGCCACTAAACTTTCCACAACACACAGCTTGCCAGTTGTAGACTGAGTGTAGCCGAAGCGGTTTGCCTGGAGCCTTAATAACTCTTCTTTCGATTATCAATATGTCTATTGCTTGCGGTCTTATACCAGTTTTGTTCTCATGAGCTTTGCTACTATCGGTAAGAAGCCATCTGTACATCGTGACTCTCATCGTGGTTGCTATTTCGGTTCGCATCACTAGCAAGATTGAATGTTAGTAGAGGTCAAGAGCACTTTGCAAGAAGCAGGCAACTCGATTAAGCTTCGCAGGAGCCTCTGAAACACTTTAGTGCTGCTCGTGAAGAGCAGGATGTGCCAGTTGATCCACACCAAGGTCTTATGTGGTTGTTCGAAACGCTCTACTACTGGACCTATAAAGATGCACTACAAAAGCGCAACACATGAGCCTCAAAGCGTTCTCGCCTTCAATTCTTCGACGGCAGGAGCGTATTGACCCGCCGCAACGTGGTCGCACTTTGCACTCCAATCCTGAACACAGACGCAAGGTTCTTCACATTCCGGGTGTCATGCGGCAGGTCTCCGTAGTAAGGATCCTACTTATTGGGGTCCTGTACTAGGGTCTCCTAATTGCCAAGCCAACGAAACTCACGCTGGTGCTCCAGGCTAGCTGAAGGATTTAGAGAAGGAACACTCGGAATGAGCAACAAACACAGCCGGAAGACCTTGCACTGAGCCGTGTCTATATATCTATATATCTATATACCTATATATCTATCTACCTATCTATCTATCTATCTAACTATCTATCTAACTATCTATCTATCTATCTATCTATCTATCTAAGTTGTTAACACATCTTGTGTTATATGTGTACGTTATGTGTATATGTATATATACACACCTCGGTTAGTAGGTAAGCAAGCAAGGGCGCAAGTACGTCAGTATGTATGTATGCATGTACGTATGCAGGTAAGTAGGTATGTATGTACTTGCATACATGTATCTGTGTGTGAACAGACTGAAGAAACAAGAAACAGATGACCCTCTCACATGTAACCAGATGCATCTACAGAAAATCAGACGAAGAAATAGACAACCGTAAACCATGCATGCATGCATGCATGCATGCATGCATGCATGCATGCATGCATGCATGCATGCATGTATACACATAATATATATATATATATATACATACATACATACATACATACATACATACATACATGCATATCTATATGATAGATGTGTATATATATATATATATACATGTCGGGTATGATGTCTCTCTGGCTCCGGGTGTTGCTGCTCCGGACATGAAAGGTTGAGGAGTGTGGGCTCCTCTTCGGCAGAGGGGCGTATTACAGGGGCCGTAATATTCGAATAGGGTGCTGGGGGTATATTGTACTGTAGTTCTCAAAGCCCTAAACCCTAAACCCTAAACCCTAAACTGTAGTTACATAAGGACTATAGGGACATAGTGTTAGAAACTTATTCAGACCTCTAAATTAGAGTTTCGGGTTCGGGGCGTAGAGGAGACTGCCAATGCCCACCCTTGCAGGGCCACGCACCCTCATGATGTGGAGGAAGACTGAAGCCATGGTACCTTGCAGCCAGGCGCGAAAGGTGTCATGACTGATATATTTGGGGTGTGGCTTTAGGGTTTAGGGCTTTAGGGTTTCAGCAGGGTTCGTGCAGTACTGATGGCAAGAAGAAGAATAAATGCACTTCCATGTGACCCGAGCCCCGTACCGTAGGCAGTTCCCGGCAGCGTGTCAACTCCATCCGGGAGCTTGCGAACCTGTCAACGGTTTAAGGTTTAGGGTTTAGGGTTTAGGGTTTAGGGTTTAGGGTTTAGGGTTTAGGGTTTAGGGTTTAGGGGAGATTTGAGCGAGGAGTTTGGCATTGAGGCTCTGTTTAGGGTTTTGGGTGTAGTGTTGAGGGTCGGATGAGGTTTAATCTTGTGGAAAAGTGGGGAATCTCTATGGCCTCTGGGCTTTACACCACCTGAGTCTAGTCTTTGCGGGCATCAACTTGACCAAAAGCTCGTCAACTGGTTGCAGGGGTTCTGGCTCGGATTCGTACAGTATGCCGTCAGTCTTATAAGAAATGCCGCCACCAATAGACAAGTCCTTGGGTGATGACATTTCGGCCAACAGGCAATCTGGAGTAGCTCAGTTTACAGAATCCCATTCTCTAGCTCTGGCGGAGAAGCCTGACGGACCCTCTGCTCGGAATCTACCGGGGGAGCGGGCGCCAGTGCACCTGTAAAGAGTCAACAAGACGATTTGTGAAGTGGCTGGGCTGGCAGAAGGACATGCACAAGAGTTGGGAGGGCCTTACAGTAACGCTTAGAATGGGTGGCTTCGGGCGTAGCATAGTCTAGTTGTGATAGAAAAACTTGAGGGATGGTAGAAAGTAGGTATTTAGGCCGAAGTTACGAGAGATCTTGAAGACAAGAAGGGTCTGCATTAGGAGCTGCCAGCAAGGTTTACCAGAAATAGGATACCGTGTAAAAAAAAAGTGTGGTCTACTAGAACTCAAGCACGTACGCCTTTTGGTGCAGAGTGTCTGGCCTGAGTAATAAATTGTCTACAGCCTGAACGTCACAAGCCGGTCGTGAATCTCCCACCCGTACTTTCGGTCTGCAATTCCTTAGCGGCACGGGCACGGCCCTTCTGCTTGAACCGCATTGAAAACGCAGTGTGTACACCCGATACAAAACCTTAAAACCACAAGAAATTCATGCACGACTGTGCATGCTGGCCTCTGCGACGGGCCGTGCCGGTGTGATGCCAGCATCCGGACCAGCCATGATGTCTGGCAGGTCCTGTCACCCGGCTTGCGCGAACTCAGCAGTCTCCGTCTTACTCCATCCAAAGGCTGAGCGTTGCCCAGCACGACGTGGCTGATCCCAGCTTACAAATGCGGAAACTCTCAACGTTCCAGGCCTCTATAACCATCCACGCCTGTGTAAGTTGCCTGAATCTGAAGACAGAGGCATTCACAGCAGCCAGCCTCAATCACCTCATCCACGAAGTCCCGATTTATGTCGCGGGCCTGCCCAGCGTCGGAGGGCTTCAAACACAACTGAGGAGTTGGGTTTTTTAGGACGGCTGGGTCGTCGTTTCATACTTTATTAGGCCCGGTTCCGGGCCTTTCGCTAACTTTGTGTGCAGGGATCGGAGTCTTCACAGTTCGACAGCCTAATTCACCACTAAACAATGCACTATACTGGACTCGCAGCTTGAACGGTGGAGGCTCCTCTGCAACTATCCACAGTGCCGAGCCCTCTTCGAGCTGGCAATTGCCGGCTGCTGATCTCGTCGACATGATCACCATTAACAACAAAATCGTCATCATCACTGGTCAAAACAGCACCACTCGTGTCCGTGCATGTGTCCGCACCTGCATGTGTGCATGCATGTGTGTCTGTATGTCTGTATGTATGATTGTACATATGTCTGTATGTACGTAAGTAGCATATGCATGTATGTATGTATGCATGCATGCATGCATGCATGCATGCATGCATGCATGCATGCATGTAGCTATGTATGCCTATGTCTGTGTATATGCTTATGCAGATGTGTATGTATGTGTATGTGTATACGTATATGTGAGTATATATGAGTCGAACGTGTATATGTGTATGTCTATGTACACATGTACAGATAGCTGGATAAATAGATAGATAGATAGATAGGTAGGTAAGTAGGTAGCTAGGTAGGTAGATAGGTAGATAGGTAGATAGGTGGATAGTTAGATAGATAGATAGATAGATAGATAGATAGATAGATAGAGAGATAGGTAGATAGGTCGTAGATAGATAAATAGATAAACAGATAGATAGGTAGATAGATAGATACGTAGAAAGCAAGACAGATAGATAGATAGATAGATAGATAGATAGAGAGATAGATAGATAGATAGATAGATAGATAGGCAGGTAGGCAGGTAGGTGGATAGACAGATAGCTAGATAGGTTTGCATATATATATATATATATTATTTATTTATTTACATACACATGAACATATACATATACACAAGCGTGTGCATGCATGTGCAGGAAATTCATGTATGTGTATCTTTCTCTCCCTCCTCGCATGTTTTCTCTGTATATACAGAGGTGCCTGTATATTATTAGTATACATATATATATATATGCATGTGTATATATATCTATAGAATATTTCCTTTGGCCTGCATGTGTCGTCCCCTCTCTGCCTGCCCTCAGTGCGTTCACGTGCGGGTACACACACACACACACACGCACACACATCTGCAGGCAGGAAGGTAGTGGGAAAGCCAAAGAGAGGGATAAGAGCAGGGAAACCACAGGGCGCTCAATTCTTTCGGGCAGTAGCATCTGCCTTTACCCATGCTGCATCGCATGAAGCAGACAGCCCGACCACAGCGCCCCGAGCCCTGAACTGAACCCTAGTAATACCAGGTTCCGATACTGCCATGTTTGTTTCGGCAGTAGCGGCGCGCGCTCGCGAAAGTCGTGCCTTGCGGATGAGTTTGACTCTTCGATCGATGATCTCCTCGCCAAGGAGCTTGCGCTCAAGTTTGCTGGGCTGCAGCAGGTTGTACCTTCGCAGATCAAAGCCTCTCTCCATACAACTTGCAGTTGTGCTAACGTCCACAGAACTCGCGAGTGCATACATGAACATACATTCATATCCACCCATCCATCCCTCCATCCATCCATCTACATCCAACCAACCAACCATCCCTCCATTGCTCCATCCATCCATCTCTCCCTCCCTCCATCCAGCACTTCATCCGCCAATCAATCATAATATCCACGCATGCATACGTGCATCCATACATCCATACCATACATATGTCGATCAGATATGTGGGCTTGATTGTAATTTACAACAACCGGCAGCGTTCTCCAAAAGCTTCCGCACTTCTACATACGATCGTTAACCAAGAGTTTAGTCAGTTTAGTCATTTATGATGTATGCGCCGCCCCTCCCAACCATCAGCATGCCCACTGTGGCTGCAGCCTCGACCCCGACACGAACCATCGTCAACCCTAAACCCTAAGCCCTAAACCCGCGACACAGGGGCGCACGCATCTTTCTCAATGGCCTGCTCATACTTGTTGAACACATCCCGCAACTCCGTCCTGCCCGGAGTTGAATGACCGGAGTCCTAAACCCTAAACCGTTTAGGGTTTAGGGTTTGGTTTAGGGTTTAGGGACTCTAAACCCTAGGATCAGTCCAGGGTTGACAATGTGGCATTGAGCACCATCCGCCGGCTTAACCACACGGGATTTGGGACTCAAGGCCGAAGGTTGATACGAAGAAATCCGGAATGATCTTCGGGACCCGAAACCTCAGGGTTCAGGGTTTAGGGTTTAGGGTTTAGGGTTTAGGGTTTAGGGGGGAAGTATGGGGGCATGAATGCGCAGGGGGATGCACGCAGCGTCGATGATGCAGAAACCTTATTGACATGCCCCTACAAGCCCCAGCACCCCAGACCCTAAACCGGAAAATTCCAAAGTCCCCTTCACCCCTATTCCCGAACCCTTGACAGACAACACCCAGATCCAGAATCGTATCGGCTGCACCAGAACTTGCTTCTGGGTTTTGATAGCACTTCGGCTTTGCCTGCTGCCAAGTTTTAGGGTTTAGGGTTTAGGGTTTAGGGTTTCAGACTTCCGAAATTGTGGCCGACGACCGCCGTCGCCGTTGCCGCCTTTTCCAAGGCTTGCCGCCCTAGTCTCATCTGATGGAGGAGCCGGGGAGGGAGAAGCCCCTGAGCCTAAACCCTGAACCCTGGGTCCTGCCTTCGAAACCGGTACCCTCAACCCTGCCACCTAAACCTTCAGGCACTATGGAGGCAGCCCTGAATCTTGCTTTGAGGGCTCTTCTCACAGAAGAACAAAAAATAATAAGAAGAAGAATAAGAAGAACTTATGATAAATGCGAAAAGAGATCCTAAACTAAAACAGAGCCACCACAAAGATGCCGAAGAACACCTTAACTCTTGACTCTAACCCTAAACAACCCTAAAAACCATTAGCTCCAAAAAAGAACACCAGAACAGGGTGCAGCCTTTCCCCCCTGAGCCCTAACCTTTCGAAACAGGTGACTCCTGGATAGACGCCAGCCCTCGAAGGACATCGGAGGCTTCCCCTTCCACTTCTTGTAGAGCTTCGGCCTCGACTTTGCCGGGGCTTAGGTTCGTTTCGGGCGCAGTGGTGATGTCCACAGGCTCATCGCAGCACAAGCGCAGCAAACCTGCAAGCTCGATGCCATAAAAACCCTTAAAACACCTTGGTTAAGCAGTTGTAAGACCGTTATGCAACCCTCACGAATCCTTATAGGACCCTATAGAACCCCTCATAAATCCCAGTTCCCTGTTCGATCCCTAAAACACGAGGCGCGAGCCACGCAAAGTTGACAACTCCGGCCAGGCATGCAGAAACCTGACACTCGCAAAAACAACGATGTGAGTATGTGTGTATATACCTTTATACACACGTACGTAGATGCATAACTATGTAATGCATATATATATATATATGTATATGTATATCTACCTATTTATTTATACATCTGCATTATATGTGTGTGTATGTGTGTATATATATATATAGGTGTATGCGTGTCTGTGTAAACACACACACACATATATACATATATATACATATATAATACATTCCCGGACATATTTTTCGGACATATGTGTACGCATGTATGCATGCATGCATGCATGCATGCCTGCATGCCTGCATGCCTGCATGC